CCCCTACCCCTCCAGACACTGCAGTGATCACTACTGAGATCTCCAGGGAGAAGTGTGGGAGCTCCAACTGCACCTGAGAGTACAGAGCTCTTGGCACAGAAAATGGAGATGTGGAGTTTGGGCTGGTAAATAGTAGAGAAAGGCAGGAAACCTTCTGCAACTTCAGTATTTCTGTTCCATATTTTCCTACATGGTTTGGCTTTGTAATTCTTGTCCCAAGGACTTAATTTTGTCTTCTTCAAGCTGTGCCAAGCCTGAGATAAGCTTGGGTGACAAATGCTGCTTTCTCTGACTACCCTCAGAGTGTGGATAGCAACTGTGAGAGCCTGCTGTAGGTGACAGTTTGAGTCACAGTGTGGTGGGCAGCTGCAGGTGCTGCTGTGCCATGTGTCAGTTGGCAGGGGACACACTGGCATTAGGAAGTAGAGCCTGAAATCCTGAATTCACTTTGTGTCTGCAGGGAGCTCAGAATTCTTGTGTAAACTAATCCTTCAGTGATCAATAACACCATGAGTGGTGTCTGACTTTTCTTCGGCTCTAAGTTCAGCTGGTTTTGGTCCTGGATGTTCAGGGGAATGTTTCTCACTGTGCCAAATGGATCCAATGCCAGCCATCCCAGCGAGGAGCCAGCTCACTGTCCCGTGTCTGCCCTGGTGCTGGATGCCTGTATGACCCAAAACAAGACAGTTCAGCCAGCAGAAAACTTCTGTTGAGTAGTTTTCTGTTCCCATAATGAGCTGAAATGGTTAACCATGAGTTCAGATCACTGAATAATTCAGGTCAGAAGGGATCTCTGGAGGCTGCTGGCTCAGCTCCTCACCTAAAGCAAGGCCAGCTTTGGAGTTGATTAAGTTTGCTCAGAGCTCAGGTGAGCACCAAAGCAGAGAGATGCTGCTTTTCTCAGCAACAGCAAACTGTGGATTTTTTAAGTAAGAGGGGCCCTGCTTGATTTTCTGAAAACGTGGCTCCTCTCAGTGGCTTCTACAAGAAGGAAGCGGGGATGTCTCTGGCAGCTGCTCACTGTTGGGCTGGCACTGTCTCCAGCTGAATCACAAAATCACAGAAGATCCTGACCTGGAAGGGATCAACAAAGATCATTGAGTCCAACCCCTGGCCCTGCACAGACACCCCAACAATCCCACCCTGGCCCTCAGGGCATTGTCCAAACCCTCCTGGAGCTCTGGCAGCCTTGGGGCTGTACCCACTGCCCTGGGGAGCCTGGGCAGTGCCCAACCAGCCTCTGGGGGAAGAACCTTTGCCTGAGATCCAACCTGAGCCTGCCCTGACACAGCTCCAGCCGTTCCCTGGGTGCTGTCCCTGCTCCCCCAGAGCAGAGATTGGAGCTGCCCCTGGGGAGGAGCTGCAGCCCCTGCTGAGCTCTGCCCTCAGCCTGCTCTGCTCCAGCTGCACACACCAAGTGCCCTCAGCTGCTCCTTGTGTGGCCCCTCCAGACTCTTCAGCATCTTCGTGGCCCTTCTTTGGACACTCTTTAATAGCTTTAGTTTCTTAATAATTAAGAAGCAGTAATAATATGAATAAGTTGCAGTAAATGGCAACTTTTGGCAGTTAAAGGAGATGTGAGCAGTGGTTGGAGCTGTGAGATAATCCTGCTTGCTGGGCACAGTTGTTCCCACCTCTGGAGCTCTGTGGATGCCAGGTTGGGTGCAGACAGGGCTGAGTGCTCAGCACTGCTCCTTCCACAGCAATCCTGTGCTTCTAGACCAGGTCCACGTGACAGCAGGGCTTGAAATCCTGCAGGAAAATAACAGGCCACTGAAGGGAAACTTCAGACTTCTTTAGGAAGCGTCCAGTCACCCCAGTGCCTGGGGGATGAGACAGAGCATGGGCAGCAGTATCCCTGTGTTTTGGGGGCTGCACTGTGGCTGTGTGGGTGCAGCTGGTGGGATGACTCTGCTCTGGAGCTCTTGGTGTCTCCTCAGGATGAGTGCAGCTCTGCATCGGGCAGGGCAAGAGAAAGGAATTAGCACCGGCTGTTGTTTTCTTGCATTCTGGTTAAAATCCAACAAAAGTCCAGGCAATCTGCTGAGTGGTGTTGGATTGTGGAAATAGAAGACCTCATTTCATTAAAGCACTCTGGGTCAGAAAAATGTGCATTGCATCAGTGTGGTGGCAGCAGCCCCAGGGAGAAGAGCAGTGCCTGTTCTGCAGTGTGCTCAGGGCTGTGCTCAGCACCACTGCTGGGCACACAGCACCAATGGAGCTCACAGGCTGTGCTCAGGGCTGTGCTCAGAGCTGTGCTCAGCACCACTGCTGGGCACACAGCACCAGTAGAGCTCACAGGCTGTGCTCAGGGCTGTGCTCAGCACCACTGCTGGGCACACAGCACCAATAGAGCTCACAGGCTGTGCTCAGGGCTGTGCTCAGGGCTGTGCTCAGCACCACTGCTGGGCACACAGCACCAATAGAGCTCACAGGCTGTCTCTGTCCTGAGCTGGCTGCACATTCACACGTCATTTCCCTGTTCCATTGAACAACCTCCTGAGCTGTGGCAGCTCCTGCATCCCTGCAGGAGCTGTGGCTGAGGCAGGGACCAGAATGTGCTGCCAGGGGCACAGGCACAGTGGGAACTCCTGGGTAGCTGAATGACATGAGGTGTCCCATCATGGGATCTGCCTGCACCCACTTACAGGCTTTTATTGCCCAAAACCCAAAACCAATTCTCTAAGCCTGGCAAATTACCATTACCTGTGTTGTCTTCACAGCTGAAGTGGGCACCAGATGTTTCTTGCATTTATTTCACCAAAAGATGAAGTCAGTTTTTACTATAAAATTATATAGTGAGGTCTTGCACCCCAGGAGTTCACCTGGCAGCAGTTTCTTTTTCCCTGGCACTGGGTTCCCAGGAATGTGGTCCCAGCCTGGGAGCCAAGGGTGCAGTCCAGCTGCTCTGCTTACTGCATCCCAACTTCCCAAATGTACCATTTCTATGGGTTTGTCACGGGAAAAACTGAGATCACTGTGATTTTGCTTGTCTGTAGAATCCTCAATTTCTCCTCCAGGTTAGAGAAAGCTCGTTGTGGCACTTGGTTTAGACACTGAGCATTGTGCATTTCATCTCAAATGAAATGCCCCCCACCTTCGCTTCCACATCACTTTGATGTTTGACATTTTCTTTGAAGTATGGAATGTTTTAGAATCATGCAGTCACAGACTGGTTTGGGTTGGACGGGACCTTAAAGCTCATCCAGTCCCACCCCTGCCATGGACAGGGACACCTTCCACCAGCCCAGGTTACTCCAAGCCCCGTCCAACCTGGCCTTGGACACTTCCAGAACTGGGCCAGCCACAGCTTCTCTGGGCAACCTGTTCCATTTTACTTGGGTTTATCCTTGTTCTGTCAACTTGGGGGATTCTGATAAATCCTGTAATGCAAACATTTCAGCCATGCACACAAGGCCAGAGCCCCCACAATTCCCACCTGTGCCATTCCTCCCTGCTCAGTGCCAGATGTCACCTGTAGCAGGTGACACTGATTCTCCTGGAAAACTATCAGCTGCAAGAAGCACTTGAGCTATCATATTCATTTTCTTACCAGCAAAGTCTTGCTGTTAATATTAACATTTCAGACAAGGAGTAGTAAAACCCTGTTTTTCCCACAATTCCTTGTATCAGCCTGACACAAAAAAGTCATTACTTGGGAAGTCAGACAGATTCTGAGTGACTGTGTGCTTCTTCCCAGCTTTTGACACAGAATGCTAATGCACAAAAGCAAGGAAATAAAATTCAAACTAAATCTTACCCTGCCCACATGACAAGCAAAATGGGGCTGGATCCTGCATGCACCATGTTATTTGGGTTGGAAGGGACCTTAAAGCTCATCTCCCTCCTGCTGTGGGCAGGGACACCTTCCACTAGCCCAGATTGCTCCAAGTCCTGTCCAACCTGGCCTTGGACACTTCCAGGATAGGGCAGCCACAGCTTCATTGTGCCAAGGGAATGACTCCTTGCTCACAGTAACTGCTCATAAAATCCTCATTAAAGAAACCCTAAAAATCTCTGTATGTGCCCACAGTTGTGCCATCCTGGCATCAATCTTTTATTGCACTCTGTTTCCTTGGCCAAGGGTTTTTTCCTTAACTACAAAGCCCCTCACTTCAAAAGTGTTTATGTCTTTCTAGCTCCTTGCCCCTATGTTGAATACACATTGAGGTTTCCAGATGTGAGAAACAAGACATCCTAAAGGTCACTCTGCATTTTTCAGAATACAAGAGGATGTTTGTTTGTTTCTTTTTAGCAGAATTTTAAAACTGAAGGAAACATCAGTCTGCTGAGCTGGGCCAGCTAATCTCTAGCCTTTAGCAGGACTTGGGAAAGATGAATGACCAAATTTAGAGGATCTGTGGGCAAATTTACCAGAAACCCGGTTTTGTTGTGGAAAGTGTGAGAAGATAAGAAGGCACAGACTTGCCTCTGGCAGTACCTGAGAGGAGAGGAGAGGAGAGGAGAGGAGAGGACAGCTGGTCCAGCTGAGATGAGCTATTACAGGAGCAGTGATCCTTGCAGGCATCAAGGATGGAGCTGGTCCCTTCCACTGCAGTTCAGTGGAAATTTAGGGACAGAGCAAATTTGACTTCAGCCTTGAGGGAGGGGATTTCCAGCACAGTCCTGACTATCAGGCAGGTCTTGGCTGATCCTTCCCTAGGAATGCTCTCAGAGCCTTTTACGTGGTCGCTGGCAGGTCACCACTCGCAGAAGGAAGAGCTGTAGGTGCCAGTTATTTTCAGGAAGGAAGGTATGGCTGAAAACGTGATCCTTCTGGAGTTCAGCCCATCCAGGCCAAGCCCCAGTGTCCCACAGCTCGAGTGCTAAGCCAGGGATCTGTGTGTTTGGTTCTTGTTCTGGCATGGAGGGCAGTGCCCCCGCTCAGGGGGCTGTGAGTACTCCAGGTTTTTCCGTGTGACTCTGTAAAAGATGGAGGCTGCTCTTGTTTTGATTCTCGCCTGATTTAATTATATTTGCTTTTTCTCTTTTTATTTCAGTTGTGATTCCAAAGAGCCCTTTACCTGCCTCCGAAGTAAACTCGGAGAAACCTAGCATGCACAGTAGCACAAAGACTGTTTTGGGGCATCAACAAGGGCAAAGGCGTCGCAAAACAGGGAAGAAGCGTGGTCGAACGACCAAAGCGCTAATCCACCACCCCATGCCTACACCCTCCAAGTCAGTGGAGCCTTTGAAATTCCCCAGAAAGAGAGGCCCCAAGCCTGGCAGTAAGGTAAAAGCTGATGCTGATGCAGGCGGGTGAACAGCAGGTGCTGCAGGTCCTGCCATGGGATGGTGCATGCGTGTGTTTGTGCACGTTTGTCTCAGCCTCTGGCTGTGTGACTGCAGCAAGTAGGAGACCCGAGGGGTATGTGGGCTGGGAGCATCCTCAGAGTCCAACCCCAGAGCTGTAGAGAATGTCTGTGTCCTAAAGATCATTTCCATCAAGAAACTGTGTCTTGGGAAGTGCACTGGCTGTGGAGTAGCATGGCAGATGCTGGGAGCACGACAGGGTGGCCAAACGGTAAAATAAGTTCTCCCGTCCTCGTATGTGGCTGGTCTGAGTCAAACCGAGGTGGCAGATCTCAGGCTTGTTATTTTTCAGGATTGTAGTTTATAAAATACACACCTATTGATTACTACGTTCTTGGGACACCCCATCATTCATCACCATCAGAAATGTGTCATGTTCCACAGTGCCTTGTCTGTTGGATGCAGAGGAGAGAGTGTAGTGATCACGGGTGGTAAAGGAGAGCAGGGATAAAAGGAGAAATATCTCCTCTTTTTCTGCAGAGGAAACCTAGGACATTGCTGAACCCAGCACCCACCTCTCCAACAACCAGTACCCCAGAGCCAGACACAAGCACTGTGCCCCAGGACGCTGCTACAATCCCCAGCTCTGCCATGCAGGCTCCCACAGGTAAGGAAGGGTCTCAGACCACATTCTTGACAGGATTGCACAGTTAGGAACTGCAGCAGGCAGACAGTGACACCCCAGGAGAGTCCCATTTCTTCCTAGCCTGTAAACCAGCAATCCTTACAGCTCCAGGAGGGCTGGCCTGAGAGAGGCACTGAGTCCAGATCAGCTGTTCGTTTATCTCTCTGTCTATTTGGAAATAATGGAGTCGTAGGAAGATTGCAAGGCCCCCTGTTGAGTGCAGAGACCCCTTTCCCTGAGTTTCCACGTGCATGTTGGTGACTCCACAGCTCTCCAGGGACACTGCTCATGGCCCTTCCTACCTGGGGGCACTCGAGTGTGCAGCGACACTTGTGAGCTCCTGAGCTCTCCCACACTGTGCCAGGCACAGCTGCTGGAGCTGCACAAGGGGCAGAGCAGTTACCAAAGGGCTGTGGTCTGTCCAGGTCCAGCCAGGATACCAAGGCACTCAGGGAGAGGAGGGAGGAGTGGCAGTGAAGAGTATGTGCACTGCTGCAGATGTGAGTGCAGCTGAGGATGAATCTGGCCAGGAAAGTCTTAATGCAAAGCTGCTTTTGACATGTTGAGTCAAGCTTTGGATATGGGCTGAGCCCTCTGTTTCCCCAGAATGTAATTGGCCAGTTTTCAGAGGAACCTAAAGAACCGAGTTTCCCTAAAAAGAAAACACTGTAGGAACCCCTAAAAAGTGGGAGTTGCATTCCTTCATCCCCTCTGAACATGACCTGGCTGGTGTGGAAACCACTTTACAGCCTGACTGCAGGGAGAAACAGCAGCAGCTTGGAAAGTGAGCGTGAGGCAGGAAGGTTTTGGAGGCGATTCCCCTGTAGAAGCAGCTCTGCTGTGAGGATGCAGACAGGCAGTCGTGGTGGATTACCCCTTGTGAGCCATTGGATAATCTTAAAATCTCAGCATCTCTCAAGTTGGATTTTAGGCATCTGTTTCTTGCTTTCTTGAGTGGGTTAATGGCAAACACATTTCTCACCTTGGCAGTTTGCATTTACTTGAACAAGAACAGCAGCACTGGGCCCCACCTAGACAAGAAGAAAGTTCAGCAGCTGCCAGACCATTTTGGACCAGCTCGAGCTTCTGTTGTCCTGCAGCAAGCAGTACAGGCCTGCATTGATTGTGCTTATCATCAGAAAACAGTCTTCTCCTTCTTAAAACAAGGCCACGGGGGAGAGGTCATCTCAGGTGAGAATGGGCCCACAGCACTTTGCCTTCAGAGAGGTCGTTGCAAGAGTTCTCTCGTTGGAAGACGTCTGTCCTGGAGCCTGGTGCAGCCACAGGCCAGGGGCAGACAGAAGAGTTCTGTCTTCTCTTTCTTGCCACACATCTGTGTCAGTGAAGCAGCAGCTGGTGGCTGACTCAGAGCAGGGCAGTTCCCATGGCCTGCGGGCACAGCTGTGGGAGCAGGCAGTGAGCAGCCCTGGCATCAGCCTGGGCACCATCCTGCCCCACCGACCGTCCCCTGCGCTGCCCCGGCCCCGGGAGGAGGCACAACGGGGGGGATTCTCACAGCTCCTCATGGAAAGAAAAGAACTACCCCAGTTTTTGGGTTTTTAATGGTCCTTTTAAGCCCGTGTGTAGCCGGGTCTGGGAGTGCAGGCCCCTCCTGGAATCCTTTCGGTTCCCTGGACCGTGGCTCCCCCGCGCTGCCGCCCGCCCGGTGCTGGGAGCAGCAGGCTGGTCCCGGCCTGTCCCGGCGCTGTGCCAGCCCCAGGCAGTGGCTGTTGTTGGCTCCAGACTAGCCCAGCGATGCCGAGATCCAGGAGCTGTGCGGCCCTGGGCGTAGCCTCTGCCTCGGCGGGGGGTTCACGTGTTGGGCTCTGTTTGTTTCTGTCTCCAGCTGTGTTTGATCGGGAACAGCACACTCTGAACCTGCCAGCAGTAAACAGTATCACCTACGTCCTCCGCTTCCTGGAGAAGCTGTGCCACAATCTGCGCAGTGACAACCTCTTTGGGAACCAGCCTTTCTCTCAGAACAGCCACATGCAGCGCTCACACGAGTACGACCACGACAGGTATCTACCAGGTAGGAGCTGGGGCGGGGGCGGCGCTGTAGGGACCCCCAGTGCTCCATGTCTTAACCCAGATTTTATCTCTATCTCTGGAGGCAGGGCTGTGTTCCAGAGCCCTCTCATAGGGTTCATTACATCACACCCAGTGTCGTGCACATGCCCGCAGGGCTCTTGCAGGAATCCAGCTGCATTTTCTGCCTGTCAGTTTGATTTCCATCTCCGCTCTAGGTTTCCGCTCATCCGTGCTGTCTCCTTGTCTTCCCTCCTCTCCTCATCCCCCAGTTCTCCCTGCTCCCTGTAATCTGATTATGGTGACTTCATACAGTGAGGAATAAGGTGAGCGAGTGCATGAGAGTGATAAGGTGCAGCAGGTGAACTGGAATCAGGAATGAATTAGAGCCACACTGGCCGTGGACCCGCTGCCAGTGCAGCCAGCCCTCGGTGACAGCGTGGCCCTTCACGGGTGATGCTCGTGCAGCAATCCGAGGCAGAGGTGGTTTTGTTGTCCTTGCCATGGCTGATGCTCTGCTGCACTGACTGGCACGCCCCAGCTAGACAGTTTATGCCACAGTGCAGGTCATCAGACTGCAAAACTGCTCTTAAGCCAAAACAAGCCCAGTAGCTCCCCCCACAGTGCTGGGTAGTGGCAGCAATCCTGGTGCTTGGCTGCCCCTCCAGGCTTTCTGGGGGTTCTGGGGGAGCTCCTGCTCTAGGAATGCCGGTTGTGGAGAGGATCAAAGCTGTCTGCACCCTCTTAGGTGGCTGACAAGTGCTCATCTCCTTTCCTGTCTTGCTTTCTGCCTCCCCAGTCAGCAAATAGCTATTGTGTTCTTTGAGGTCTTTCCAAAGTTAATCCTTTGGATAATTATGGCTCTGACAAGAAAAGCAAGAGTTTGGAATGTAAAAGGATGAGCACTTAGGAAGAAGTTGCTAAACATGAGGTGTAGGGGCAACAGCCAAATGCCACAGTGCTTTGTTCATTGCACCTCACAAAGCAGCCTCGGGGAGGGGATGAGCAAGAGGATCTTTAGAGAGAGTCTAGAGAGCGAGGATGATCCTCTGCTTCCTCCATGTCTGAGTAGAGCCATGCTGGAGCCAGCAGTGCCAGGAGCAGGGAGCTGTGCTGTGCTGTGCTGTGAGGAGCTGTAGGAAATGCAAGGACAGGAGCAGCATGATCAGTTACTGGGAGTGGAGGTTGCCCCTTGGGGAACCCTCAAATAGGAGAAATCTCCATGTTTCAGTGTGGAGATACCCTGTCGTTGAGAGATAGAGCAAAACCAGAGTGGGAGGGAGAGGACTCAGGTGTGGGCATGGATGAGAGTGTCCTGTAGCTCACACACAGGGTTTCCAGCCTCCCAGAGAGGTCAGTGGTGGCTCTGCCAAGAGCTGGGCTGCCAGGCAGGGTGGAGAAGTGTAAGTCAGAATTCAGGGAAGCTCAAGCAGAGCACCAGTTCTGACACAATGCTGAGACCTGCCCATCCTGAACTCTTGAATGGTTGCAGGGGTTAAAGAAAAATTAACCACAGTCTAGAGAAGTGACAGCACCTAGTCCTGCAGTTCATACTGACGTCTCAGAGCTCCTTGGTCATCTGGTCATCTAACACCTTTCTCAGGCACCTGAAAGAAGATGATAAACATAACTATCTACATGTTCCAGTGGCTTCTGGTGAGGGCAGAGGAACAGTACCGGCGATTTTGGGAGGTTTGGGCTGGTCATGGAGGAATGAGAGTGCAGTTGTACATCCTGAAACCATGCCAAGTGTCAAGGTGCCGTGGTCTCACCTTCAGCTCTGCATGTCCTGCCTTGCTTCCTCTGCAGGATGGGAATGTATTGGATGGGGCTGGTTCTTCCAGTAAACAGCCACTGGGTAGGGCTGGGAGCTACTTTCAGTTCCCAGAACAAACTGGCTTTCCAGGAGCACCCCTGGGGCTGCTGTGGAGAATTGGTGTGTGTGCTTGGGGCAGAAGGAAGGTCTGCAGCAGCCCTTGGGTCAGCTGTGTTCTGCCATTCTGTCTTACCAAGTGAGGCATGGTCATGGAAACAGGTCAAGTTGTACATCAGGAACAGTAGTTTGCAAGGATTCAGTTGCTGTGCCTGGGCTGGGAAATGTTCTGAATGGGTAGATCTGCCCTGGAGCCATCTGAAAACACAGGACTGGAGGGACCTTCTGGCCCCCTGAGCCCTGGGTCCTGCTGTTACAGGCACCACAGCACGTGGGGTTGCTTTGACTAACTCTGGAGTTACAGATTTTACTCTTCCACTAGAAGCCGCTCCAAGGTTTTTTGCTGAATATTTAGAAACTATATTGTAGTTTCCAGCCAAAATTTATTCTTGGGCAACTTGGTATTTGTGTCTCCCGGTCTTAACATTGTCTTTTAGCTCAACTTGGATCTCTTTCTTCTGGAAGTAGTTGGAAAGCAGTTGTAACCCTCTGGGGAACTCACCTTTTGGCTGCTCTCTGCTCTCCTCAGCCAGTGTTGGTTTGACTTCATGGGGTGACCAGAGTACCACCCAGCCCTCTGGGGAGGAGCTCGTGGGGACCTGGTACCACAGCACTGGCACCACCATGGTCACAAGAAATCTCTCTACAACCACTTTCAGTCAGTGTGTCCTTGTAACAAATGATGACCAGCCTGTCCTGGTTACATACCTTGTTCTTCTCATCCACTGTTGTCACCTGCTGGTTCCCAGCTCATGGGACAGTGTTTCAAGTGCACATCTTCATTTGGCTGCTGGATTTACCTCTTGACTGGTTCTTCATTCTGCTTAATTTCAAATGCTACGTTGTCTGGCCTGACATGGGAAGACATCAGCAGATTTCATCAGTAAATCTCTAAAATTTCCGCCAAAGGTTTAAATAAAAATACTAAATGACGCTGGGTTCAAGAATGATCTTCAAGCAGATTCATTGGCAGTTGCTCCCCAGCCTCATGTGTCACTGAGTGCTGCCAACTGCCTTTCCTCTCAAATCAGATTTCTGTGCATAGAACAAGGCTTCTGGTAATTCATGTTCTCAGTCTCAGCCAGTGGCTTTCTGTATCTGACATCTGCTGAATTCCAGGGAAATGAGACTGACCTCTGTTCCCTCATGTGACAGATCAGGATTTCCCCATAGTAGGGAAGCTGTTGGGTCAGTCTGCTGGACTTTCCCTGCCCTTTCCTTCAGAGCCTGCCACAAGCCTTGCGGTGCTGCTGAGGTCACACATGGGCATTTTGTTGCCAAAATCATTCACCTTCTGTTTCAAATGTTGGCACCATGTTTCCAGTCACTCTGAGTAGTGTGTCGCTGAGTTCTGTTACAATTTGCTGAGTTTGCAGAGTTTCAGGTGCACCATCATTGGCTTCCTCTGCGCCCTCATGTCCCTGGTTTGAGAACATTCAGTTGACTTAGTCAGTGGTGGACATTTTCATTCCTGTCCTGTTTCTCTTATCCTTTGAGCCCTGCCCCAGTGTTCAGCCTGGCTGCAGATGGAAGTAAATCCCAGAATGGTTTGGGTTGAAAGGGACATTAAGGCTCTTCTCATTCCACCCCCTGCCATGGGCAGGGACACCCTCCACTAGCCCAGGTTGCTCCAGGCCCCATCCAGCCTGGCCTTGGACACTTCCAGGGATGGGGCAGCCACAGCTTCTCTGGGCAACCTGTGCCAGGGCCTCCCAACCCTCACAGGGAAGAATTTCTTCCTGATATTCAGTCTAAATCTACCCTCTTTCAGCTTGAAATACACTGAGTGCAGGTGGGTGTCACAGATGGAGCAACACCTGAGCCAGGTGTGTAGGTGTGCTCTGCAGCCAGGGAGGAGGTGCCAGTGCCATCAGTGCAAGGCACAGTGTCCCAGAGTGGGAGCCTGGAGTGACTTTGGCCTGACAGGATGAGGTGAGTGACTCTGACTGCCTGTGAAGGTGTCCATCCCATGGCCTTGGGGTGGCCCACAGCACCATGCAAGCATGGGCAGGTGGGCTTCTCTTTCTCCCACCAGGCTCCCGAGTCAGGGATGTGAAATGCCCCTCGCAGCTGTCCCATCATCTGCAGGCAAGGACAACCTGCTTTCCTTTTCTCTTCACCCTTACCTTTGTGCACAGAGTCCCCTCACTCTGTTCCCCTGTGCTCGTTCCTTCTGTAGCTGAAGCACAGGCCTGTCTTTGCCTTTGCACTGTCTCAAAACACAGGATGAGTTCAAAGCCTCCCTTCCTCCCTGCACTCCCCATGCTCTGAGGTGCACAGCTCTGTGCTGAGCAGGGCCTTTTTATCCTACTAAATGATCTGCTTGTTCTTGGCATCCTTCTCAAAGTGAGCGTTTGTCCACTGAGATTTGGGGTTCCTTCCCTCTCAGATTATTCTCTCTCTGATGATTCACATTCATGACATTTATGTCACCTTTGAACTGAAGGTATTTTCTTTTTTGCCCCAATAATCTGCTGAGTGCAGCTCTGGATGTTACTCCATTTCTTTATTTTCTTAAAATTTGTCCTTTAAAACCAAAATTCTATTTTTGATTTATCCTTTCATGAATTTACACCAACCTCACTTCTGATTGCTGAATTGTCTTCTACAGCCTGACCTTCTGTGTTTGCATGACTTTTAACATCAACTACTTTAAAAAAATAACCCAAACCAAAACTTGATGAAACCTTTCCAAAGTATCACCTCGTGTTGTGGTTCTGTGGCTGTGGGGTGAAGAAGGTTGGGTGACACAGGGATATCCAGAGACATTACCAAGAGCATTTGTTCCCATCTCTGCTGGGCAGTAAATGTTTCTTACAGGGACTTGTCCTGAGGATGGAATTTGTCTTTTTAACAATGTCACAGTGATTTTTGGTCATACTCACATGGAGTCCCAGGGCAAGCAGCTTGTCTTTCCTTTCCCTGAAGGATATTGATACAACAGGTCCTGTTCTCTACCATTGTGTTTCACCTTAATCAGCTCAACTGTGCCTGTCTGGTGCTTCCCACCCGCCTGTCCCTCCGTGTGTTGGGTGTGATGCATCCCCTTGGTGTCGGTCCCCGCCGTGCCTGTCCCCCCTCCCGCACCCTGTGCCAGCTCTGGGGGCTGCTCTGGGCTGGTGGTGGCTCCTGGCATGTGTCTGTGCCATTCCACCCCTCTGTGCCCAGCGTGCAGTGCTGGGGGCTCACTGGAAGGGGCCTGGGAGCCGGTGGCCCATGTGGGCAGGGGGCAGTGGAGGGTCACCTCAGCTGGGACATGGTCTGCCACCCCCTGTGTCGCTCACCTGGCTCTGTCCCCATCAGTGTTGGCACTTCCATTCTGTGTCCATCCACCCACCGACACTGTGTGTACGAGGAGCTGTCCCAGCCCATCCCGACATCCCGCGTGCCCCGCGCGGCACAGAGAGCCCCATCCTTGGGGTGTGCTTGGAAAGGAGCAGCAGCCACAGCTGGGGGTGCACTGGGGGGAAGATTGCAAACTGGAGTGGGGTTTAATCCAGCACTGTGTATGGCACAGAGAGTGTGTAAGTCATCCCAGGGTTGTTTGCCAATTGTCCAAGTGTTACGTGCATCTGAAAGGTGAACAGTGAGATGAGCAGGAATTGTGTGGGATGAGCCAAGGGGTAGAATGACGAGAAATGGAATTAAGTCAACTAGGGGTGATATTTGGGGTAAAATATGGCAAAATATGGCTAAGATTCTTTGTTAGGTTTCTCGCCACCCTTTTTCTCTGATAACACTTGTTGAGCCCTCTCAGATGTTCTGAGTTGCAGCCTGAGCAGGGCTGGCGGTGCACGCAGAGCTCAAGGGACTCTGGCAAGACTGAATTTCCCAGGACATCTCCACTCCTAAATAGGGCTTGTTCTCTTTTCCTAGACAGAAGCAGTTCGTTAGACGGCTCTCTGCAGGGACCAGGCCGGGGTACAAAGCGCTATTCCCAAGATTCCCCTCCATACACTGCTCCTCTCTCCCCCAAGTTACCAAAGAATGACCGTCACCCTTTGGAAGGTGAGCACAGCGTCTCTTCCCAAAGCTGGCTGTTCACAGTGCCCTGTCCTGGCTCAGCAGGGTCACCTCTGCCATGCCAGACTGAGCCATGGCTTCAGGGAGCTGCTTTGCTTGTCCCTGGCATGGGTTGTGCCTGGTGTTCCAGAGGGAAGGGAACTGCTCTGTGGTGAGACAGGTTCCCCACACGGATGCATAAGGCATGTGGAATGCAGTGGGAATTCCTTCTAACCCTGATAGTCATCCTCTCATACCGTGTAATTTGGGGTTTAATCACCCGTGGTTTGGCTTCCGTGGCCGTGCATGGTGTTAACATCCTTAAACTGCCCAGCTGCTCCAGTCAATCTGCCCTGGCTTGTTCCCTCAGTGTTTGCTGGGGTGTGTTGTACAGATGCTGATGTGCAGCTGGACAGCCAGGAACCTACTGCCCTTTCCCAGGATCTCATCTTGTTCCTCACAGTCCTCCCTGAAAGAACTGGGGGGTCTCACTGGCATGTGCTCCACTGGCTCAGCCAGATCATTCACATCCTGCTGCTGCTTCCCACAGAGTCCCTTGGGATACCACTGTTGTGCTGGGCCCACATGTTCCCAACAGCAGCTGCTGGAATGTCCTCTTTGCTGTCTGATCCACAGGTATCCCTTGCATGTGCAGGTGGGACATTTCCAGGAGGTCCAAGTAGCTGGAGGACTCCCTGAACTGAGCAACCTTCAGTAAAAATACTTCCACTTTTGTTCTGAATTGCAAACCCTCCATAATGCAGACTGGAGATTTAATCTTACTGATGCCTTTTAATTAATGGATGGTGAAATCTGCCAAGGTGTTAATCACAGTTCTTTGTAATATATCCCTGAAAAAGTGCTGGAGACTCCTGGGTGGGCTCACAGTTCAATGGCTTCGTGCTCTGTTGCTGTCCCTTTAGAATTCCCATCTCCCTGGCTCTGCAGGGGTTGCTGATCCCAGGTGTGAGTGCCCAGCCTGCCATCACTGTGGGTGATTTTGGTCTCCATCCATCACTGTGTCCTGTGACCCTGTCACTAAGCACAGCTGCTCTGAACTTGCACCCTGTTGCCCAGAGAAGCTGGGGCTGCCCCATCCCTGGAGTGTCCAAGGCCGGTTTGGACGGGGCTTGGAGCAACCTGGGCTAGTGGAAGGTGTCCCTGCCCATGGCAGGGGAGTGGAATGAGATGAGCTTTAAAGTCCCTTCCAACCCAAACCAGTCTGTGATTCTGTGGTGGACAGTTTTTAGTGGCCTCGGTATCTACAGTAAGAACAACTGTAGGTTTGTCACAGAGCTGAAATGAAACCCAAGGTGATATGTGGGGACTGTCTCATCTCTTCCAGCACACTGACAAGTCAGAAACTGTTCCCTGAGGCCCCCTGTTTCTCACCTCCAAATACACATCCATGCTGGTCTCTTTGCCATTCCCCTCTGATCCATCAGCTGAGGTACTATTAGTATGACCCAGCTCCTCCTCCTCCCCCAGCAGGTGGGACACACAGTTCAGCCTGTTCTGGAAGTGCTGGTCTGCTCCAAAGGTTCAGGTGCCTTAGCTGGGTGGTGAATATTGCACACTCTGTATTGTCAGCGAATAGAGAAGGCTTCCATAATGGGTAATTCCAAGGAAGAATCTACATTAGGTTGTCTACAAGATTGATTCTTGGTCTGCTTCAAAGTCTGTTCACTTATCCCTTGGCCTTTGAATGGGTTGTGCCATCTGGATGCAATACACTCCAGCCTCTTCCAGAAAAACACAGACAAGTGGGCAGAAAGTGTGTCTGTGTGTGAGGGGGGTGATCCTGTCGGTGTGTGACCTTCCTGCAGCGGCTCGGGCTGGTTCTGTGCTTGGTCCAAGCAGGGAGGAATGAGGTGCAGTTCCAGATTCCATCTAGAAATTCATTCTTATCCCATAGCTAAAAGCTGAAATGAATACGTCCTCCTCCACCAGGAAATTGAAGTGCAGGCAGGAATACTTGCATTTCAGAGGATATATTTTAAGAATATGCGCCTGAAATGCTTGGATATTGAATATTTCTTGAGCAAGAGAGTACATCTTTTCATGGAGCTTAACTCTGGCTTCAGCAGAGTGACAGACAGCAGCCCCTGAACACTTCCCAGTTTGCCAAATGGAAGGCTGTGAGCAGCAGTGGGATATCCCATTCACCATGCCTTTGGCAAAGCAGAGAGACGAGGAGGGGATCTCACCTCTTACATTGTTTTTCCTCTTGCATCCAGTGGCATTTGTGTTGCTTTTTGCTGAAACGCTGCAGTCCCAGCCCAGTGGGGACCTGCCTTCACAGCCCAGCATTTGCTGGAAGCAGTGGGTGTTCAGTAGTTGTGCAAATCAGATTTGTGCTTGTGGCCAAACTCCTGTGTTTTAGCAGTAAAATGGCACTGTTGAGTCTGTAGCACTATTTGTTTAATTAAACTTTAATTATCTGCTCCCTGCCTCTCCGCCACTAATTGTGGTGTGTTTCCCTACAATGTGCCAACTGCCAGCCTTTAGTTAACTCTAGCAGTTGGTGTAGGGAAATCTGCCTAAGAATCAACCACCTCCTCCCTCCTTCAACGCTGGCTGTGGAGGGTGAAGGATCCTGGATAGTACCTGAGCACAGTCTTGCCCTGCCCATGCCCAGGAGCATGTTGTTTACTGCTGCAGATGACTCACAGGGACAGTAATCATTGCCCTCTTGCCTCATCTTCCTCTCCCCTTCCTAGAGGTGTCAGTTCATCTCAGCAGTTCTCTGTGTACTTGTATTTTTAGGAAGACCCTCAATCTCTCTTGCATTGCCCCTGCCAGGAAGCCTCCAGCTCTGCTGCAAAGTTCACAGCCCAGCCAAGCACTGCCCTGAGCTGGGATAGGGAACCTGGGGGTCAGTGTGCACCTTCACTTCCACCTCCTGGCAAAGCAACGTGGTGCCCCCAGGCCTGGCCTCACCCATGGCCTCTGGGTGTGTGATCACAGTTCCTGTGAGAACAGGATCACATATTTGCAGAATGCATCACATTCCCATCAGGATAACAACAGTGTGTTGACTGTTGAGTGAAGTATTTTCTGGGGTTGAGTTTTGGATCCTCAGCATGGCACCAACATGAACCTGTGCATGTGCTCCCCCAACCCCCCAAGCTGGGCCTTCTGCTGGCAGTGAGGAGAGCTTTGGGGTCCTGGGGAGCAGTTAGAGACACGTGTGCCTGACCCAGCACATCTGGGTGAGTGTCCCTGTGTGTCACCTCGGGGGGAGGGGGGCTGTGTTTCCTTGGAGGCTGGAGATGTGCAGCATGGAGCTGTTCCCATGCCCACAACCTGTCCTGTGGCAGTGCACAGGGCTGTGCCCACTGCCCCCTCTCTTGCTTCTGCCCTTCCTTGGCAGTCAGACAGCACCCTCTCCCAGATGTTTAATGGGAAGTCATTTAGGGTTTAAGCAGAACTGTCCCATTGAAGAGGAGACCAAGTGTAGTTCCTCAGAAGCAGCTCCAGTGGAGACCCCCTGGTGTAAGGGACAGCCAGTGGTGGATCTGGCTGGGCAGGGGATCTCCACCCACCCCAGGGCCAGAGCAGCCACTCTGTGCTGGCTTTGTGTCCAGCCTGGAGCTGAAATGGGATGCTGGGAGTGCAGGAGGGGTTCACAGTTATTTGGGAAAAACCATGAGTCAGAAAACCACCCTTTATGCACTGAGAGCAGGTGAGAACACACCTGCCCATGTGGGAAGTGAGTGACACAGGACAGGTCACCGGAGGGGGGTACAGTCTTACCACCAGCAGTTTCTAGTGAGAGTGCAGGGCTGTGCTGCTGTTTTTAGGCATGTCCCAGAGACCTAAAAGCAAAAAAAGGCAGCAGTGCCTCAAGTGCAGAGTGACAAAGCCCCCGAGGTGGAAAAACAGCAGTTACCCAGGTGATAATCTCCCACTGGCCTCACCAAACTGGCCAACAGCCAGACAAGAGGGTTCCCAATCCATAGCCTTATGAGCTGAAGCTCTGGAAGGTCAGGGCTGGGTATTTCCAGCTGAACTGGCTCTGGGATCTCTACTCAAACACAGACAGCAGAACACTGAGACCAGAGGACCCCAGCTCACAGAACAGTCCCATAGTTTATAGAAACCACAGCAAATAAGGTGCCTTCAGGAGAGCTTCTCCAGTCGGGTGGGACCCTGTGTCAGCAGCACTCAGGGTTAGGCTCGGGCTCTGCACCTCCCTTCACTGGAGCCTGGCACTACCATGTCAGCAGGGAATTTGGGAAAATCTCAACAGCTTTTGGGTCTCTCAGGCTGCAGTATCGACTCTGCACCCTCACCACCAACCCAGCTCAGCACAGCTTTGCTGTGCTGCTTCTCACCTCCTGCTCCTGTGGTCTGGGAAGCCCCAGGGAGCAAACCCAGGGCCTAGCCAGAGCAGTGGCTCAGGTTTCTTGCCCCTTGTCACCTGCTGTGTGTTGGAGTGGCAGCAGCTCAGGGCTGTGAGCTGCTCTCAGGGTCTCTGCAGACCCTGGTAGGGGAGCTGCAGCCCCAGCCCCAGCCCCAGCCTTGGCCGGGGGTGCTGGCCCCAGAGTGCGCTGGCCCTGCCCCTCAGTGTGGGAGCTGCTTTCCTCCTTGGTGCAGGAACTTGCCAGGTAATTCCTAGGAAAGAATGCAGGTATGACTCAGGAGGCTCAAGGGCCAGGTGGGCTGAGACTTGGTTGTGCCATAGTAAAACCTACAGACACGTGGCCCTGAGGTGATGCTGTCACAGTGTAACAGCAGAGGCAGGTCTTGCTGGCTCAGATACAACCCTGGATAGTCTCCTCAGCCTTTCCATCCCAATAGTGCCACCAACAGCTGGAAATTCAATGGTGAGGAAGGTGAGGAAGCTGCTGTTGCCCTGGGACCCTGCCTGGGGAGGACCCTCAGCCCAGTCCCCCCTGGGCACGTGCCAGCACAGGGAATTGGTCTCCGACGTGGTTAGGCTGGAAAAGGGCAGGAGGTCAGGAGGGATGAGCAGCTGGTCACCAGCATGTTGCTTTTGGGGCTGGAGGACCAGCATGGCATGGGAGCATTGCCTGGCCATGACAGTGCAGCCCCTCCTGCCCTGCATGTGGTGCTGCCCTCCGGGATCCCGCGTGTCCCACACCCCAATCCCAACCGCCGGGGCCAGTCCCTTGCACGCTGATGCTGAGGGTGTGCAGTGTGTGATCCCCCAGGGAACCTCCCCTTCCCTCCCTGCTCAGGGCTATGTGTGAGTCCTGTGTCTGTTGGCATCCAGATGGAGCAGGCCTGCCCTGCCACGGAGGGGTCCAGGGCCATTGGAGCACAGGGCTGGGCCAGAGCTGGTGGTGGCACGAGCAGAGGAGCTGCTGCCTCAGTCTGGGCACCAGCCATTGTCACTGCCCACTAGTTGGACTGGCGTTTGCCAGGTGAACACCAGGCAGTGCCTGGTTTGATCCCTGTGCTGTGGAGGAGACCAGCGAGAGGGGTCAGAGCCAGTGAGTGCTGCAGTTCTGTCCCCGAGCAGGAGCGTTGGGCCGTGGGGTTCGGGTGCACTGACTGCAGCTTGGTGCGTTCCAGGTGAAACCTTTGTCCTGGGAGATGGCCTCCCAGGGCCCTTGGAGCCTCGCCTGGACCCTATGGACTCTGCCTTGAACTCTGTCAATTCCTCCAGCCACAGCAGGAGCTCCAGAGACTGTCGCCTGCCAGGATACAGGCACCTGCACCAACCCTCGAGCCTCAGCCAGGGCACCTCTGCCCTGCGCAGGCCTAGCTCTGGGGGTAAGAGCTCAGAACAGCCCTGCAGCTGCACAGTGGCAATAGAGGACCTTCCTAATTCCAGTTACACCTTTCTGACTTCAGCAAGTACCAGCCTGGGCTCTGCACAGCCCCCCAGCTCTGTGAGGTGTGGTGGCACCTGGGCGGGGGGCAGTGTGGACAGTGACACTGCTCCTGTGGCTGGTGACTGGGGGGACCTGGAGGTCAGTGGAGAGGAAGGAGCAGGCAGGAGCTGAACTGTGTCCAAGTGACAGATGGGCATCTGGGTCCGTGAGGATGGATCGGGAATGGCCGGGGAGTCGAGAGCTGCCTGGAGAGGCTGGAGCTGAGGGGGAGGCTGGGAGGGTGGGATGTGTGAACAGCACCTCTGTGTGGAGGGAGAGGGGCAGGAGAGCTGAGCTGGTCAGTACAGCACATCAGCATATCAGGTTGCAAAAAGTGTGATTTTGGGTGCATGGTGTCAATAAAAGCCTCTCAAAAGCTCAGGCTGCTGGTGCCTCCCCCCACCTGCGTGTGAGGGCAGAGCTGGGACAAGGGGCTGTGCTGATGCCAGAACGTTGGGAACAGGACTTGTGTCAGCTCGGACCGTGCTTTGGGACCACAGGATGTCACCTGTGGGCTCAACCTGTCAGAAAATGAAAACATAAACCAGCTTTGCTGTGTTAAATGTGCTAAAGGTGTTGGGAGTGGAGGAGGAACTGTGTGTGAGGAGAGACGTGGGAGTGGGGAGGGTGTTCTGCAGAGGTGGGAGCTGTCAGCTGATAGGCGAGGAGGAGTGAGAATGGGGGGGCAAAAAAGGGGAAATTGGAGTTGAGAGAGAGGAAAAGGGCTCAGTATAGAAGGCTGCCCTGAAAAGGAGAGGGAATACGGCTTCTGTGCCAGACCTGCACTGCAAGGATGGGGGGCCTGACTGGGATGTGATCCTTGCTGTGTCTCTGCCCTTGCTGTGGGAGAGGAGGCTGAGTGGTAGGTTGAGGGTCAGTTACTGTGGCCACTGGACTAACAGCCCTGTCTGCACCCGCAGGCTCCGACAGGTACCTGGGCCCCCGGGACGTGTCCCGGCTGAGCGGCCGCGACCCCTCGTCCTGGTCGGTGGAGGAGGTGATGCAGTTCATCCGCGAGTCCGACCCGCAGCTGGGCCCCCACGCAGACCTCTTCCGAAAGCACGTGAGTGCCTCTGGCTGTGGGCAAACGTGTGTGTCACGTGGGGGGGGAATCAGCACACAAGGAAAACGCAGGAGAGTCAGAAAATGGCAGCACTTTGGACCAGCTGGAGTTCTGTGCTTAATAAAAATATCCTCATAAATCGTGCTCATCCCCTGTCCGGGATTGGGATCCTCACTCAGACCCCTTCAGGGGCAGACCTGGCAGCTTTGAATCCCAGTGCTGAAAACACAAACCCTGCTCACCCTGGAGCCTAATACTCACCTCATGGCAAATTTCTCCTGTCAAGAAGCACATTCCAAGTGGGATTCATGGAGTGCATCGCTGCTCAACTCTGTTTCCTATAGCAGGGAGTCCCCTAAGGCTCTGCTCCTTGTGCACATCTGTAAGTGTAAAACAGCTGCAGACACAGCATGGAGTTTGTACCATTAAAGCTACAAGAGGTTTGGCAGCTCCATGTCCTGATTCCTGCCAGAACTGTCTTCCCTCTGTGTTTTGATTGAGTCCATGTTCTATCTGGTGCTGCTTGGGAAGTCGGAAGAGCCCTGGGAGCAAAAACCCAGCACTGCATCCTGCTCTGGGCTGTGCTGACACAACACTCCTTTTTTTAATTAGCTCTATTTTAGAACCACCAGTAATTGAAAAATGTTTGTTTTAATTATGCAAAAGCTGCCAAGGGTGGGAGGTGCCCTGGATTGGAAGTCCTGGGGAGAACCTTGCTTTTATCTGCAGAAGGGAAAACCAGATCAAACCTGGTACTGGAGATCCCTGGAGATCTCATCAGGCTGAAACCTAACTGGGCATTGACATAGGGCAGGACATTCTGTTGTTTGAGGTGGTGATTTTTATTTTTCTTTTATAAGTCCATTAACATTTTTTCGTGGAAAACTGTCCAGTGCAAAGCTCTGGCCCCATCCTGGACTGGGTGATGGAAAGGAGCACTGAAAAGGACTGGGAGACTTCCACTTCCAGATGCCAAGGACAGAGCTGTTCTCTAGTTTTTCTGAGCTCATGATCCATCCCTTCCTGAGCCTCAGGTGGGACACACCTGGACTCTGCTGTAAAGCATCAGCTGCTTTGGAAGCTGCTGTGTTGGAATCAGCCCTGCTGGGGATGAGGAGCTTCACCACTCTCTGCCAGTGGCTGGGACTGTGCTGTGAACTCCAGAAACACAGAATAGAAACCCAGAATCATTCAGGTTGGAAGAGCCTCTGAGCTCATAGAGTCCAATAAGACCCCAGCCCTGCCAAGGTCACCACTAAACCATGTCCCCAAGTGCCACATCCACAGGGTTTTGAACACTTTCAGGGATGGTGATTTCACCACTGCCCTGGGCAGCTGTGCCAGTACCTGACCACCCTTTCAGGGAAGAAATTTTTTCATGATATCCAGTCACAGAGTGCAGACTTTGAGTTTCAGGGTCTGTTCCTTCACCTCCATCTCCATCCGTGACTCAGGGCTGTGTGTCATGGCAGGGTTGTTGTCACCATTGCTCCTGTGCTGGGGTGAAGTGCCCTGGAACGAGCCACTGCTCCCCTGCCTCCATCATTCCCCTGTCAGCAAAACCTCCCTTTTCCTCCCTCCCCACCTCCTTCAGGATTTGCTGCCCCTCTGGTCAAGGCTCCTGGATGTTGATCACCCAGCAGATTCCCCGCTGCACGTGGGGTCTGGGGCTGAGGCCTGTGCTGGAGCAGGGTGGATGCAGTGCTGTCCATGCTGAGATGTCCCTGCTGGGATGTTGCTGAGCAGGGCTGACACCCAGCCCCGCTGCTGCCTGTTGTCCTGGCTCAGCGAGCAGGGAGGGGCTTCCAAGGGGCGTCACAAGCGCTGTTGGTTCCCCCTTGCAGGAGATCGACGGGAAGGCCCTGCTCCTGCTGCGGAGCGACATGATGATGAAGTACATGGGGCTGAAGCTGGGGCCAGCCCTGAAGCTCACTTACCACATCGACAAGCTAAAGCAAGGCAAGTTCTGAGAGGACATTGGCAGGACAGATCCTGGAAGCTCCGCTCCTGGCCACCCCCACCCGCGCTCACCTGCCGACAGGTTCGCATGCACACACCCCATTTACACCGCAGACAGACAGACAGACGGACACCTCGCTGACAGCCCGGCCCCCCCAGGAGACAGACGGACACCTCGCCGATAGCCCGGCCCTCCCGGGTCCCGCTGCCCCCGCCCCAGCGGGAGGAGCCCGGCGCAGTTGGGCTTCACGCCAGACTCGAGCCGTGGGCGCCCTGTTGGAAGCAGAGGGTCTCTCCCAGCACTCCTTCGTGGGCTCCTGGTCCTGCTTCCCCGGGATGGAGCAGCAGCTCTGGGCAGTCCGTGGGGACTGGCACCACCTCCTCCCTCTCGCCTGCTCGGGGCAGGCACTGGGGGGGCTGCAGCGGGGCCGTGCCCCGACTGTGCCCTGCGGCACCACGGTGAGCTCGGAGCATCCACTGCCCCGGCCCCGCCTTCCACAGCGGGGGGAGCCCGGGGGCCACTCACCCCCCTCAGCTCTGCCTACCCCTGGCTTCAGACCCGGCTCCAGCTGGGCACGCCAGGCCAGGGATGGAAGCTTTCATATTTATTCCAGACTGGAAAGGCCACACGGCACTGGCTGGGAGCGTGGAGTGAGCTGGGAGAGCCAAGGAGCAGGGCTGGGTGCCCCTGGCACGTGTTGGAGGCTGCCTGGATGCTGCAGGACTCGGCTGATACTTCTCGCCTTTTATTTTTTTTTTAATTTTCTCTTTTGGAATTTTTTTTTTTTACTAAGGAGTTGTGTGTTTAAAACGATGAGATGATTTTTCTACCTATGTTGAACTCGCAACTCTTGGTGATTTTTAGCCAGAGCTGCCAAGGTTTGTCTTCCCAGGGGCACTCCCGCTCCTCTAGAGTTTTGGTCCGTCCCAGCTCAGCGTGTGAGAGGGTGTTGGGTCTGCCCAGAGGATCCCGGGGTGGTGACCCGTCCCGATGTTGCTCTTCCTGTGAGGGCTTTGTCCTGCCCGGGGCCCCTCTTGGTCTCAGGCAGTTTAATGTATTTATTTTTGATGGCACTTGAGCGGTTCCCGCGGTCCCAGACACGTTCCTGCAGCTGCACGAGGAGTGTGGAGGCCACCGGCTGTGCCAGCACCGTCCCGGGGGCAGCGGTGCCAGCTCGGGGCTGCCTGTGGGGCAGGGGCTGCCCAGACCCCTGAGCGGCCGAGCCGGGGCAGGGCTGGTGGGGCAGGCGGGGGCTGACCCCGCTGTGTCCCCACACAGACCCACCCGTGCCACATTCCCCTGCAGTGACCAAAGGGCTGGGACGGGATCTCCACTCCGAGCACTTCTTCCTCCTGCCCTCAGCTCACCCTCTGCATCCAGAGCCACGGCTCAGCGCCCCCGGCCAGCCTCGAGGGCCCTGGCCAGCAGCAGGACGGGCCCCCGCGGGGACCAACCCTCCAGGCTCTTGCACTGGGTCAGGTTTACCCCTAAGGGGCAAAGTTGCAAAAAAAAAAAATTTAAAAAATAAAAAAAATACCCCAACACCCAAAGTAATGAGAAGGCAAAAGGCTTTTTGTCACAGAGCGTAGCCCGTGCTGGGCCTGGGACACCCCTCCGTGTGACCCGCACTGGTCCTGCTGCACCCGGGGCCTGGCAGGGTCAGCCAGTGCTTTCCTCTGCACTTATTTTACGTTGATCTGTTTATAAATAAAAGGATACCAAGTTCCTCCCCGCTGTTTGTGCACTGAGCGCTGGGCTGGGCCCTGCAGTGGCTCCCACAGGCACCTGCCAAGGGGGGAGCACAGGGACAGGCAGCGGGTGCTGGTGCAGGACAGACCCGCGGCTCCCTGCCTGCCTTGCCCTGCCCTCCCTGCCCGTCCTCCGGGGCTGAGGAAGCGGATGGGATTGACATCCATCGCGCCTCCCGATCTCTGCCGCCCTCCCGCCCCCAGCCTGACCCCCCTCTTGCTCTTCGCGGTGCTGCCCGTGCTGACAGAGGCTTCTGTGACTCCTTGTCCCTGTCTGGAGCTTGAAGGGGGTGTTGAACCCATCGCTGCCAGCACAGCTCAGCCCTGAGGCACCGGGGTGGGCAAACAGCCCCTGCAGCCAGACGGGGAGGGAGGAGAAGGGGGGGACGATGAGCTCTGAGCCCCCACCTTGCTCCCCAAAAGAAGCAGTGCCGTGGCCCGGGACCCCACCCTGGGGGCCAGGTCCGGCCCAGACCCTGTGGCGCCTCTCGGGGCTGCCCGTTCCCACGGGAGGGCAGAGCCGAAGGCGGGCCCGGCCCGGCCCCACACCAGGGGCTGCTCCCCCACAGCACCGCGGCCGGGGGGGTCTCACCCCATGTGCTGAGCCGGGGTTTGTGTCCCAGCTCGAGCTGCGCCTGGAACAGCCCGGAGGGGCTGCTGGAGGGAGGGAGGGAGGACACCCAGCCCCAGGGAGGGCAGCGAGGTGGGTGCTGGAATGTCTTGGCTGGTCCAGCCCCAGGTGAGGGGGCAGAAGCCCCGGGTCTCTCCTGCAGCCTCAGGGCTTACTGGGCACCGCGGGGTCCCTGTTGAGGTGCCTCTGGCCCAGACTCACCCCTGGGGCTGCTGTCACAGTGCAGGGTCCCCCACGGCCCCGCAGCAGCAGAGCCCGGGTGGCAGCTGGACCCATCCACGTTTGGGGCTGAAAGGGACGGTGCTGTTGGGGCACAGCGGTGCCTTGGCCAGGTCCCACAGCCATCAAACTCAAGCCCTTGAAACAAGCCCTGCAGAGGCCAAATTTATTTGCAACATTTCACTGCATCTTCAACTTTCAATGCTCGTTTTTGTTGCCTGCCTAGCACAGGAGCTAAAATGCAGCAGTTCAGGGTGGGCACCAAAGCAGAGCCTTCACCTCCCTGGGTACACTGCCCGTGCCCCGGGGGCTGCCATGGGGCCGACCCTCCCCACACCCCCACAGCAGGAGCCCTGAGGGGGTTCTGGCCAACAACCCCAGCTGTGGAGCAAGGAGGGACAAACCCTCCCGGGGAGTTGCAGCCTTGTTCTTCCATTAGGAAGTGACTCCTCTGCCCTGCAGCACCTGCAGGCTCAGCCCAGGTTTCTCTGCTGCTGGGGGGAGATGATTTCAGCCAGCCTTTGGAAATCCACATCTAGAACCACTGTGAGTGCAGCTCACAAATTTTCCCTGACTTAGAGAGGACTCATTTAAAACTGAGTTGTCCCTCAGTCCCTTCCCTCCTTCCCTCCCTCCCTCCGAGCAGGGCAGGAACAGAACGAGCTCGGGGCTCCTGGTTCAGTTTGTTACAAATGAGCATTTAATGACCAAGTAAGTGGCACAGTTTTGGCCAAAACAAAAACATCTTGGGAGAAAGGAAACACAGTTGTGCTGCAGCTGAGGAACAATCTCACCCTGCCCCACGCCAAGGGCAGGGGCTGGGCAGTACCAGAGCATCAAACTCAATCATTCCTCCAGAACAGCTGGAATTGGCACATGAGGAATGCTCAAAGCTCTCTGGGCTCACAGCAGCTTTACAGGGAATACTGAAAACAACTGAGGACTAAAGCAAGGGGGGCTGGGGAGGAGATCACTGAGGAGGGACAGGACAGGGTTTGGTTACGTGGCTCAGCCAGGTCTGACTGTGCAGCTCTCCCCAGACTCCCGGGCCCTGCCGAGTTCTGAGCGTGTGACACCTCAGACAGTGCAGACACTTCATTCCTTCCTTCCTCAGGGAACCAGGGAGTCCATCCCTCAGCACTGCACAGCATCACCCAGCCCCAGAGCCGGGCATGGGGATGGGGAACACCCTCCCTCAGGAACAGCCCTCGGGAATGGCGGGAGCACAGGACACACGGCTCCGACTGTACAAAAAGGCAGTGGAAGGCTCTGCTTCCAATCCATGAAAAAGCACCAGGAACTGTTGTGTCCAAGGCCAGGGACAACAGGAGCAGCTCAAGGCAGCAGTGGAAGTGGTTCAGTGGTTCACTGTTCTCACCTCCCCCTTGATGCAAGGGGTGGGAGGGTCCCAACCCAAGGAGCAGCTCCAGGAGCATGGACCCCTCGGGTCAGGGCTTTCCTGGCAGCTTTGCTTTCCACCCCCCCAACTTGATCCCAGTTACTCACATCCCTGCAGTGACACGTCAGGCAGAGCTGATCGTGTTCCAGAGTAACACTGTTCCAGGAGAAGTTTCCTGATTACAAATTCATTGTGGCAATGAATGCACTGAGAGCACCAGTGCCAAAGGTTTGTAAATACTACTGAAAAAAAAACCAAAAAAGAATAAATCATCCTTCTTTCCCCCCCAAAAAACCTCAAAAAGGCTGAATGAGCCTGCCCAGCCCAGAGCCCTCCTCTGCAGCGCAGCCTGGCTCAGGCACTGAGCCAAACCCCAAAAACTTGTGCCATCCACATAATTTCACTAGTAAGCAAAGAGTGAGGAGGAAGCAGAAAGGCTGGAGAAAGCAACTCCACTGTCAGTGTCCAAGGCACCCTGATGCCAGCATTCCCTGTGCTGGGAAGGGCGTGTGCCATGGGATTCCCCCCACATCGAACCCCATGCCCCAGTTTGCTTTGATCTCCAAGCTGGTGCAAACTGAAGGAACTGAAGAAGTCTGGAGGAGCCTGTGTGAACTCTCCTCCACAAATAACCAGGATCTACATGGAAAATAAAGGAAGGACAGAAGAGCTGAGGAAATAAGGGACAGGATCTCAGAATGAAAATTATAAACCCTTAAGTCAGGAAAGCCCAAAGCTGAGGGTGTTGAAGCTATTGCTGTAAGAACGCCTGGAAAACCGAATGGAGACTCCTCTCTGCAGCAAGGACACACCTGGAGAGGGAAAAGGAGCAGGAGTTACTGACAGGAGAGAGCCACAGGCTGGAGCTGCACAGCACTGGAGTCAGGCTGAGCCATGTCCCTGGGGATACCCCACACTGCCACTGCCCCTCTCCTACAGCTTCATCTGGGGACAGCCCCCAAGCCTCCAGAGCACATAGGATGCTGTCAGGGAGCCAAAGGTTCACAGTGTCTTCAGGATAAAAATTTACAGGGAGAATTTTTCAGCTCTTAAGTGTTATACCAGGCTGTGGAAGAGCCCAGCACGCAGTGATCCCAGCATCCAGTCCCAGTCCTGTGCCCAGGGGTGGGGAGCACTCCTGTGCCAGACAGGGGCCGACCCTGCTTTCCCTCTGCAGTTTGGACGTGCCCGTCAGACCAAGGGAAGGGGGAGGAGGGTCCCCTGGCACTCAGCAGTGGAGCCTCCTCTCACCCCACAGGCATGTCCACAGATGCTGCTCAACTCCTCCAAAACCAGCACACAGACCAGCCAGAGCAGGAGAAGGTCACATCCAAGATCATCTACTGCACAGAGAACTCCCTTGACATTTAA